GTCGTTTTTCTTTTTTTTCTTTCTTTCTTTCTTTTTTTTTTTTTTTAGAGGTTTTTGATATAGGGCGCATGCACTCACCAGAGAGACAGAAAGTGAGAAATAACCCCCCAGCCACCGTGGCTACGCCACAGTCCCTTCTCCTTTGGGGATCTTGGGTATGCACATACATGCGTCCGGCGTGAGTTTAAGCCACCGGTTCCAGGACTCGGATCGCAGTCGACTACATGGGAGTCCAGTGATATAGCCATTACACTATCTGCTGGTCCCTCTCTGCTTGTCTTTAAAGGTCACTGTTGTGTGGTTCAGATCTGACTCCTCCCTACACTTAGGCACAGAATTCCTCGAAAGATAATAAATATGTATCAGTAAGAGGTATCGAAGTCAGTCATGGTTCCCCTCATCTGATGTTAAGATAATTCACAAAGTCGTTCCTCACTGTATATTTCCTGTTGTGTGGCAGGCGTTATTCCGTATTCTAGGCATTCAGGGTACGTCTGTCAGTAACACAATGCTCCTGTCACCTGGGAGCTCCCATCCTAGCCTTCCTGATGAAAAGCTTGGGACCACGGCAGGTGGTGACAAACAGACCAAAAGAAGGGTCAAACTGAAAAGAAGGCCAAGGTAGCTGAGTAAGTGAGATGCAAGTGGGTTATTTAAGCCAAGGCTTAGGACCAAGTGCCTGGGTGAGCACATTTCTAGTTTCCCAAGCACGTGTTCATCAGAATGGTCACCAAGAAAGCTGGCTTATATAACAAAGAGCAGAAGAGAGGAGGTTGCAAATTACTAAGAGTTTACATTGGTTCATTCAAAGTAATGCAGGTGGGTCAGCCCTATGGCCTAGCTGTTAAGGGAGCAGGATCCCAAATGGCCAACCATCATTTGAATCCTGCCCTGGCTTGAAAAACACTGAGCACATGTGCGTGCATACCCCAAATCCCAACAGGATGGAGAAATAGAGACGGGATTGAGGCGTCATGACCTCCCTGCCTCTCTGTGGCAAGCACACACACTCTCTGACAATTAAAAAACATGCAGGCAGGGCCAGCAAGTGGCATGGTGGTTAAGGTGCTTGACTCCCACAAGACTGACCATGCTTCGAATCTCAGAGCTGGTGGCTTGCTTTCTCATTTTCTCTCTCTCTCTCTCTCTCTCTCTGATGAGCACGCATGCCCTATAGCAAATTTAAATGTTAAAATTAAAATTAACATGCAGGCAACTGATTGGTTATCCCTTATTCTTTTTTTGTGGAGAGGTTTTCACTATAGGGTGCATGCGCTCGCCAGACAGACAGAGAGAGACATAGAGACAGAAAGTGAGAAATCACCCCCCAGGGGTAATGGTCACACCGCAATCCCTTCTCCTCCATTCTCCTCTCGGGATCTTGGGCACGCACGCACACACGCCTGGCATAAGTTTTAAGCCACCGGGTTCAGGACCCGAACCACGGTCTACTACGTGGGAGTCTAGAGACATAGCCATTACGCTAACTGCTGGTTCCCTCCCTTATTCTTTATATCAGGAACTCTCAAGAACACAGGGAATAAGAAAAGGTAAGAGTCACATCTTGAAATCTAGAGTCCTTGGGGCCGGCAGGTGGCATGGTGGATAGAGGCGCTGGATTCCCAAGTGGCCGACAGCAGTTTGAGTCCCAAACTTGGCGGCTTGCTTTCTCACTTTCCCTTTCTTTATGTCTCTCTCTGGTCAAATTAAAATAATAATAATAACCAGCAGTTGGCATAATGGCTATGTCACTGGATTCCCATGTAGTCGACCACGGTTCAAGTCCTGGACCCAGTGGCTTCAACTCACACAAGGCGCATGTGCGTGCATGCTGCGTGCATGCCCAAGATACTGAGAGAATGGAGGAAAAGGGATTGTGGTGTGGCCATCCCCACATGGGGTGATTTCTCACTTTCTGTCTGTCTTGCTGGCAAGCACATGAGTCCTACAGCAAAAAAAAACTCTCAAAAAAAAATGTAAATGGACCTTATGTTCCACATACTGCTTTGGACTGCTTTTCTTATTTTAAAGAGTTATTCATTCTTTATATTTTATTTGTTGTTATTATTTTTTTTTAATTTGACCAGAGAGCGAGAGAAGAAGGGAAAGTGAGAAAGCAAGCTGCCAAGTTCAGGACTCGAACTGCGCAGCCATGTGGGAGTCCAGCACCTTAACCACCATACCACCTGTCGGCCCCTGGACTGCGTTTCTTTCACAGAAGTAGAGAGAGTGCAGAAGCATATCTCTGTGCACCCAGGGACCTGATTCACAGTCAGGACCTACGCGGCTGCAGGCAAAGCTGGATGAGTGATGTGCACTGTATGGGAAGACCCGCTCACTCTGTGGAGAAGCCACAACTGCATCTTCCACACGTGCCGCATACAAAGGTGGATTCTCAGTAGACTAAAGAAACATAAGCCTGTAAAGATAACAGGAAAAATAAGGGACCTACGTGCACTGGGGGACTTCTTAAATGAGACCTTAGGCTCACAAATCATAACTTACTATATTTGTGACTCGGCGGCTGGACCTCAGACCCAACACCTGTGTGGGTTCTTGCCTGACGCTCATGAAGAATTAGAAACGTGGACACATGGAGAGGATCGTCACCAAAGCTTACTAGGACAGAGGCAAAGCTTCCAGCTAAGTGGAAGGGGCACTCGAGCGAGTATCCCTGGAAACAGGAATAGGGGTTGTGGTTATAATGTTTCTTTAAAGAAGTACAAGGTTTTTGTTAATGTCAGGGATAATCAATTATATTGACAGCCTATACTCCCTCTGTCAGAAGTCTGGATAGTTAATATTTTATCTTGCAACGGAACTAGTGAAGCTTGTTCTTTGTTCCCATTCGGTACTTTCAGTGTAGATTGTTCCTGCCTTATTCTAACTTTCCTCAAGCATAACAGACCCCAGAGTTCTTCCATGGAGTATAATGTGGGTAAGGGAATGAGCTCAACAGCCCATGACGACCTCTCAGACAGGACAGAAAGTATTCTAGCTGAAAGTAGCTCTCTGTGTGAGCAAGAGCTAGTCATTGATTTCTAGTGAGGGCAGTGAATGGTTTCTATCAAAGGCTTGACTATAGTGACTCCGTCTTGTCTCGTTCTTTCTTTCTCTCTTTGAGAGAGATTTTTGCTATAGGGCACATGGGCTTGCCAGAGAGACAGACAAAAAGCGAGAAATCATCCCCTGGGAGGATGGCCACACCCAATCCCTTCTCCTCCATTTCCTTCTTGGGATTTTGGGCGGCACACATGCCATGCCCAGCGTGTTTCAAGCTGCTGGGTCCAGTTCTCAAACTATTTTTTTTTTTTTTTTTGAGAGGTTTTTGCTACAGGGCACATGCGTTCACCAGACAGAGAGAGACAGAGAGACAGAAAGTGAGAAATCACCCTCTGGGGGGATGGCCACACCACAATCCCTTCTCTTCTATTCTCCTCTCGGAATCTTGGGCATGCACACACACACGTCTAGCGTGAGTTTAAGCCACCGGGTCCAGGACTCAAACCGCAGTCGACTACATGAGAGTTCAGCGACATAGTCATTACGCTAACTGCTGGTCCCACAGCGTGAGTTTTTAAGCCACCAGGTCTGAGACTCGAACCATGGTCAACTATGTGGGGAGTCCAGTGATGTAATCATTATGCCACCTGCCGGTCCCTTGTCTCGTATTTTGTATTCTGTGAACTGCTTACCCTACCTCCCTATCCAGAGATCTTATGCCTATTTCGTTTGTCTATGACAAAACCCAGGCTTTCCTTTCAATGAAGGCGATGGCAGTTTATCAGCTCTGGCCGGGGCTCCATGGGTTTACAGATGTTAACCTGTTAATCCCCCAACTCTACAAGGCTGGTGCTGTTGGCATCATTTTTTTGTCTTATTTTTCATTTGTTTATGTAGTTTTTACGTTTATTCATATATTCCATGACTGACAGAGACAGAGCTACAGCCCTGCCCATGAGGTCCCACCACCTCAGTCCACCCCCAGCTTCAGCCAGCTCAGACCACGGGTACACATGTGCCAGGCAACTCTCGGGGAGGGCTCCAGACACAAACCTGGAGCCCTACTGTGTGGGTCAGCCTTACGGAGCATCACATTTTATTTTATTTTGTTTTTAATATGCTATAGGATGCGTGCGCTCGCTGGAGACAGAGAGAGGAAAAGTGAGAAACTGAGACAAGAAGCAGCTAGCAAATGGAGGTGGGTAAGGAGGTTAGAGCATCTGTCCGTGTGGCTCAATAGAGAGACCAGATCAGGGCAGACAATTCCCTGCCCAAGGCAATGGGAGCAGATTAGTGGGGGGATGTTGGCTGGTTACATCACATTTGGTATAGCCAATGAGACGAATCAGAGAGCTAAGCCACATTTCCAATAGCCAATGAGGGGCTGGCAGGTGGGCTGGTGGATAAAGGCACTGGATTCCTACATGGTCGGTATTAGGGTTCAAGTCCCAGACCTGGTGGCTTGCTTTCTCACTTTCCCTTTCTCATTGTCTGGTCAAATTAAAAAATTAAGATAACAAGTGGGATTAAAAAATAAATAATTCTTCAAATAGCCAATGATAAATGAGTGGGCCCAGGCTCACTTGATAGAGCCAATGAGATGAGAATAATCTATGGTTCCAGACAATGATCGACCCACACAACCTAGGCCAAAAACTATAAATCCTGGGCCAGCAGGTGGCACGATGGTTAAGGTGCTGGACGCCCACATGGTTGACCATGGTTTTGAGTCCTGAACCTGGCAGCTTGCTTTCTCACTTTCTCTCTTTCCTTCTCTGTTGAGTGCATGTACCTTGTGGTAAATTAAATAATACTAATAAATGAAATTAAATAAATCATTAGAAAGCAGCTATAAATCCCACAGAATGCAACTGCTGGTTTTTTGAGCCACTCCTCTGTCTGCTCAGGGCTGTTCCTACCTCTCAGGAATGTACATTTACTTAATAAACTACCTTTTCCTTGCATGTTTCGTTCAATTCTTTGTCTAAAACACCAAGAACCTGGATATCATCCCAGAAGCCATCCCACAACATGTCTTATGCCAAGCCAGCCAAGAGGTAAGCCCCCCTTAGGATCCTGGATATCCTCACGGAAGCCAGCCCACAACAGAATCACATATACACACACACACACACACACACACACACACACACACACACACAGAGGGGGGGGATGGCTGGGTCACAATCACTTTTCTTCAATTCTCTTCTCAGGAATTTGGACATGCACTCACGCATGCCCGCATAATTTTCTTTCTTCCTTTTTTTTTTAAAAGGCTTTTGCCATAGGTCGTGTGTGTGCTCACCGAAGAGAGACAGAGACAGTGAGAGGAAAAGTGAGAAATCATTCTCCAAGAGAAGTGGCTACACTGCCACCCCTTCTTCTCCATCCTCCTCCTGGCATTTTGGGCATGCACACAGACGTGCCCGGTGTGATTTTTCAGGCCGCGGTCAGCCATGTGGGAGTCCAGCACCATAACCACTATGCCACCTACTGGCCTCACCCAGGTGTGATTTTCAAGCCCCCAGGTCCGGGACTCAAACTGTGGAGTTGGCCATGTGTGACCCAGTTGCCTAAACCACCATGCTACCTGCAGACCTGAGCATCTCGTTTTACCAGCGCGGTGACCGTTTGGCCACACTGTCCTCCTTTAATAGCTGGGTAAACTGAGCTACAGAGAGGAATGCGGTGGTGAGAGCGGACTGACGCCCCACCATCGGGGCGAAGCCCAGGCTGTAAGCCAGGGGGCGACAAACGCTTTGTTCTCTGTAAATAGCTGGAAAGGCACTCCTGTGAACCACATAATTGTAGGGATCCAAGATGTTCTTCAGGCATTTAAAAATTATTTTAAGCTAAAAACATCTGAACAAATAATACCTGCAGGGAAAAGAAACCTCACCTAGACTTTTTAGCTGATTTAAGCAAGACTGCCTATAAAATGCTGCCCAGGGCTGTCAATCCCCTCTGGGAGGCTGCTTTAGCCTGGAGACTAATAATTATCACCTGAACGAGTAATTGCTGAAGGGAACTTCAGGTGAAACCCTTACCTTCTGTTTGCTCTTCCATAAAAGCCCTCACTAAGTGTGCACTAAGCCCCTATCTGGCTGTTCTTTGCTGTCCTTCTCTTGTCAATCTGTCTGTTGCCAGTTAATTTGTAGACCCCTAAACAGAGAATCTAAACTGGTAGAGAAAAGCTTTTCCTTACAACTGTCTTTGTTACAGCCACTCAAGGCTGCCATTGTAGTGGGATAAAATGTAAATGAATAAACATCGCTGTTTATTTATGGATAATGACATTTGAATTTTATATCTTTTCTTTGAAGAGTTTTTTTTTTTTTTTCATTGTTACAGGGCACGTACACTTGAAAGACAGATAGAGACAGAGAGACAGAAAGCGAGAAATCAACCCCCGGGGAGATGGCCATACCACAATCCCTTCTCCTCCATTCTCCTCTGGGATCTTGGGCACACACACACACACACACATACACGTGCCTGGCGTGAGTTTAAGCCACCGGGTCCGGGACTCAAACTGTGGTCGACTACATGGGAGTCCAGAGACATAGCCATTATGCCAACTCCTGCTTCCTAAAAATAATTTATTAAAAAAACAATTTGGATCATGCAGGTGGCATGGTGGTTAAAGTGCTGGAATTCCAACATGGACAACTGAGGTTCAGGTCCCTTACGTGGCTTGCTTTCTTGCTCTCCTTCTCCCTCTCTCTGTCTTTCTCTGGAAAATTCTTGTGAAAAAAATAATAATGAACAAAGAAAGAAAATAATTATTAAAAAATATTTTTTTAATTTGCTGTATGGCATATGTGCCACTGGAGAAAGACAGACAGACAGAGGGAAAGTGAGAAATTATCCCCCCACACACGTCCCAGGGGAGGGGAGTGGCAATGCCGCAGTCCCTTCTCTCCTCCATCTTCCTTGTGGGATTCTGGGTACGCACGTGCGCACACACGTGCACACACACCCGCATGTTTTTTAAGCCACCAGATTCAGGACTTGAACCATGCAGTTGGCTATGTGGTATCCAGCCACCTTAACCACCATGCAACCTGGCTGTTGTTTTTGTTGTCTATTTATTTATTTATTTTCTCTAGCATTTTAAGTTTTTGGCTATCTAGACTGCCAGTTTCCAGGTCACATTTTTTTTTTCTTCCTCTTCCTTGATAAAGATTCTTTCTGGGGCCAGCAGGTGGCCAGTAGCTAAGGTGCTGGTCTTCCACATGCCTGACTGCTGGACACCGCCGCTTGAAACTCACTCCGGGCACGTGTGTGTGCACGAAATCTCAAGGAGAATGGAGGAGAAGGGATTGCGTTGTGGCTATTCTCCTGGGGAGTGATTTCTCTTTTCCCTCTCGCTGTCCCTCCACTGAGCACATGAGCCCAATGGTCAAGAAAAAAAAGAAAAAAAAAAAAAAAACACAACCTTTTTTTGAGGATTCCAAAACACCGGTACTTGAGCCTCTCTCTAAATTTATCTTCTCTGCAGTGAAAAATTTTCTGCTTTTTTGTGACTGGTAAATGTGTTGCCTGTCACATTTCAACAAAGCTTTTGGAATTTTGGTTTGCAAAAACTTAGGGGAATTCTGAAGTGTGAGCGTTTTGTTTTTCTTTCTCCTTCTTCTTTCCCTGTGTGCTTACCCTCCCTGTCCAGCAGGGTTGCCGTTGTCTCTTCCAGGCTCCCGGAAGCAGCTCTCATGGTGGCGTTGTAGGGCTCTGTTGGGATTCGCTGGGGCACTGTGGCTGAGGCTGCCAGTCTAGAAGGCTTGTGTCGGTGGGTGGGCAGCCCGTCAGCTCCCCTGGACCTACCGCTTTGTCTAGGTCAGAGTCTGAGGTAGAGGTCCCCTGCAGGTCTTTTTGGAGGTAGAGGTCCCCTGCAGGTCTTTTTGTTTTGGCGTTTTCATTTAACTTAATTTGCTTCCTTTCCCAAGAGTTAGAAGCTGCCCCTGTGGCTGGCTGCAGGCTGGAGCCTTCCTCCGGGGTCTAGTCCTTGTGGAGTGTGTTAGCGTCTGTTGCCCTAAAAAGGCGTAGCTCTGGTGGCTATTCGGATCCAGAGTCCAAGTGGCCATGGCTTTGACCATCTCCCTGCCCCCTGCCCAACAGAGTTGTGTGTTACTGAGCCTGGCCCAGTCAGCTTGGTGTTCCCTACCTATGTTTTATCTACCATTGCTCTGCGTAGGCTGCAGAAGTTGCCGGGAGGTTGTTATCATGATTGTCATGTCTTGCTGCATAGCACTCAACATCCAGTGGCTCCAAACAACAGCTACTAGGTTTTTTTATTATTATTATTATTATTATTATCGCCAGAGAGTTCATGCACTCACCAAAGAGAGACAGAAAGAAAACACCCCACCATGCGGTGTGATCATGCCACAATCCCTTTTCCATCCTGTCTGGATCTTAGGCATGCCCAATGTGTTTTTCTTTATTATTGTTATTATTATTATTGTTATTGTTAGAGAGATTTTTGCTATAAGGTGTGTGTGCTTGCTGGAGAGACAGAGAGACAGAAAGTGAGAAATTACCTCCCAGGGGAAATGGCCACGCTGCAATCCCTTCTTCCCCACTCTCCTATCGGGGTTTTGGACATGCACATGCATCCACCATAAATTTTAAGCCACCAAGTCTGGGACTTGAACTGCGGTTGACTGAGAGTCCAACGATGTAAACATTATACCATCTGCTGGTCTACCCAATATATTTTTAAAGCCATGGGGGTTGGGATTTGAACCATGGCTAGCCATGTGGGATCTGGCTTCTTTAACTGCTAGACAATGGGGCTGGTCCAGCTACTTTATTTTCTTTTCTTTTTTTTTTTTTGGAGAGTTTTTGTTTTTTTGCTATAGGGCTCATGTGCTTGCCAGAAAGACAGAGAGATAGAAAGCAAGAAATCACCCCCCGGGGGAGATGGCCACACCGCAATCCCTTCTCCATTCTCCTCTCGGGATCTTGGGCACGCACGCACACGCGCCCGGTGTGAGTTTTAAGCCACTGGGTCCGGGATGCGAACCATGGTCAACTACGTGAGAGCCCAGCGACACAGACATTACACTAACTGCTGGTCCCTACTTTATCTTTTAAGAATTATTATTTTTTGGGGGGCCCAGTGGATGGCATAATGGTCATAATGGTTACGTCACTGGACTCCCACATCGTTGACTACTTTTTTTTTTTTTTTGAGAGGTTTTTGTTATAGGGTGCGTGCGCTCGCCAGACAGACAGAGAGAGACATAGAGACAGAAAGCGAGAAATCACACCCCAGGGGGGATGGCCACGCCGCAATCCCTTTCTCCTCCATTCTCCTCTTGGGATCTTGGGCACGCACACACACGTGCCCGGCGTGAGTTTAAGCCACCGGGTCCAGGACTCGAACCACGGTCGACTACATGGGAGTCCAGTGACATAGCCATTATGCTAACTGCTGGTCGCTTAGTTGACTACTGTTCAAGTTCTGGACCCAGTGGCTTAAGACTCACACCAGGCGTGTATGAGTGCATGCCCAAGATCCTGAGAGGAAAATAGAGGAGGAGGGATTGTGGCATGGCCATCCCCCTTGTGGGGTGATTTCTTGTTTTTTGTCAGTCTGTCTTCCTCTCTGTCTCTCTGGCAAGCACAAGCACTCTATAGCAAAAATCTCTCTTAAAAAATTATTTTATTGGGGATCAGCAGGTGGCGTGATGGTTAAGGTGCTGGACACTCCCACATGGCTGATCATGGTTTGAGTCCCAGACCTGGTGGCTTGCTTTCTCACCTTCTCTCTCTCTCTCTCTCTGATCAAATGAAAATAAATGAATGAATAAATAAAATTAAATAATAATTTAAAATTTTATTTTATTTATTATTATTTCTTAAGTTTGACCAGAGAGAGACAGAAAAAGAGAGAAAGGAAAAATGAGAAAGCAAGCCACCAGTCTGTGATTCAAATTGCAGTCAGCCGTGTGGGAGTCCAGTGCCTTAACCACCACGCCACCTGGTGGCCCTGCCACTTTATATATATGTCATGATGCCATGCTTCAGGAATCAAGGAGGACTCAGCTGGGGGAGGC